CTTTCAAAAATGTCGGATTTTGTGGCGATTTTTACCTATTTTTAGATCATAAACTTTTTGTCAGCTCAAAATCCTTCAGTATTGTCTTAAAAAATACTAGTCTAGCTCTGGCTCCGCTCTAGCTCCTCTCGCTCTGATTGGTCAGAGCGATCTTGTTGCATTCGCGTGTGCCCACTACTGCACACGCTCAATCGGCCCAGAGTCACCGGAAGCACCTCGCCGGGCTAAAGGCGAATTTAGAATCATGCGCCATTGAGCTCAGCCCATTGACTTGACTTGGAACTTGCGTTAAACAAGTCCCTCTCAAATAAAATTACACTTCATATTTGTTCATATTAATGACATGCTTCTGAAAATGTGCTCTTTTAATCATTTTTGTGTTCTTGAGTTTTTTTAGACGATCTTAAAAGTATACTGTGTAACTTTTTGGTTGGGGTTCCGTCACCTGCTTGTTTCTATGGTTATACTACTGCTCTGCCTCGAATGTTCCACAGTATGACATTACATAACCACCCTATGTTACCTTTGTTCAATTACAGGTGGTTTTATAGCTCAAAAACACTTAGAAAAACAGGCCTTCTCACTGTGAGCGGGATCGCCTCTCCGCAGATCTGTAACTAACTAAAAACAGGTGGTGGAACCTTTAAGATCGAAGATGTGTGCGTTGTGTCTCCGTGGTAACTTCTGATTATAGCCCCGCACACGTATTTACACACGTGGAACACCGCCCAGCGCGATATCCCCGTAAACTCTCGATCGAAACGTGCGCCGAAGAACAAAATGTGCCTTTAATTCCCGAAGTATTGTAATAAACCGATAACACTTGAGTTAAAATTAGCCCACTTTGTCACGAGCGCATTAATCTTGCGGCGCTCGTGCTGTCTGCTCCGCCACCTGCCTCCTGTCCAATTATCCCACGTTTGGGCTTGTACCTGTGGGCCCTTCAGAGCTCCAGAACCACCAAGAGTCGTCTCAACTTTAACAAGAGCAGCTTCGCACCTGTCCAACAGCGGCACCACCTCTCCACGTGGGGGCGCTGAGCCTGCTGGGCCGAGCACGTGTCAGTACAAAGTGTTGCTGGGGATTTGAGACGGGAGGCTGCATTGAGACGTCATTTGGAGCAGGCTGAAATAGACTAAATGTGGAACAGCTGATTGGGGATGAGGCGAGATCTCCGGGGAATGAGCTTGTGGGTTTTTAAATTTGCTGCCGGTCTGCTAACGGTATAGTTTAGGTTACATTAGACAGCTGAAGTTTGCAATAACTGTCAGAATAATTCGCCAACGTTGTGTCTTGTATTGTCTGGCGAGAAACTTGGATTTGGAAACATGTGTGTGTGTGTGTGTGTGTGTGTGTGTGTGAGTCAGTGAGAGTTTGAGGGAGACAAAAGACACAGATTGGAAGCCACGTTTCTCTCAGTCTGTCCCAGGGCAGCTGTGACATTAGAGGGATTTGCCAGCAACAGATCTGGGGATACATAAACAAATGAACTGTATAAAAACTAAACATTGAGTGCAGAAACTTAAGCGAATAGTTCATTTACACTGCAATATCACCATATACTGCACATATATTGTCATGATACATGTATTGTTTTATGCATAATTGTTTAACATGTAAGATTAAAGCAATTTGCAGTGCAGTTGTTAGAACAAGTTAACGTATTTTTTTGACGATAAGGCACAATGGATTCTAGATTACAAGACGCAGTATTAATAATGTTGAATTCTCTTGTCTATTTTCATACATAATGTGTAACGGATTATAAGACGCATTAAACAAAACAAACGGACGACACTTGAGACTGATCCTTAGTCCAGGCGTCCACGATCCATCGGCAGATCCTGGCGTAAATCGCCGTGCGTTTCCTCCCTGTCTTGGTGAATGTGTATTATAATGTGAATGTGGGTGGATAATTTAAGTTTGTTTTTTTATTTCCTACGAGGACGACTCAAATATACATTATATTGAGTAATAATGTGTTTAATGCAGCTTTGCAAACATTTGTTTACGTTTTACAGAAATTAAACTTAAAACCACATGACTAATTTGCATGAACTTTAAGTGCTAAAAAAACAGCTCGCTCTTTGTGCGCTGATGCGGTTCAGCTTCTGTCGGACTAAAGGACATGACTCAATGAAATATGTGTTCTTTTTACGACATGGCGACAGTGGCAGTGTGCGTTGAGTCGACACAGACCTATACTTCGCCCTTTACTCTGTGAGGCTCCTGACTACAGTAGCCGTAATGCTCCGACAATCCATCAAGTGGTGCGGTTTTATAGTTTACCAAAGTTGTACTAAAACATTTTGACAGATTTTTGAGCACCGTGTACCACATAAAATCGGTTCGAGGTCAGTAAACACAACCAGAATTGGTATGTAAGGCGCACTGGATTATAAGGCGCACTGTTGATTTTTGAGCAAAATTAAGTGCGCCTTATAGTCCGAAAAATACGGTACATAGCTGATGTTGTACTGCTAATGATGTAATTGTTTTTGACTTTGACTTTTTTGCCTGCAATAGCACTTTTAAATGTCCTTGCAATGTAAAGTGCAATATAAATAAATTGTATTATTATTATATTGTCAGGAATAACTTTGAGACTAACAAGATGTTTTTGGATATTATTTTTTGATATAATTACGTGTATGGCTCTACAGAAGGTGGTATTCATGAAGCAAATTTCACTCACTCTCCTATATTTCTTCACCCACCCAAGTTTAACACAGTATTAGCGTGTACCAGGAACAAAGTCTGACAGTGCAGTACATATTTTAAGTACCTCCATTCTGCCGATCGTTCATAATATAGTGTGACTGGGAGCGGGTTGAAACAGCAGGTCTATGTGATGGAGTCGGTGAATGTGGAGTAAACAGATGTTCCAACAACCTCAAACACGTTGATTATGTTATTGGTGTGTGTGTGTGTGTGTGTAGTGTGTATGTTTGTGTGTGTGTACTTCTCTTTCTGCTGAGTAAACTCTCTCGGAGGCTCCAGCAGCACCTCTCTCACATCATCCTAATTACTGTGATCGGCTCTGAACATAGTGATACTGCGGCACAGGTTTTGAATACTGTACAGGAAGTCACAGCCGACGCATCGTAGTAAAAATGACATACGGGTCCCAAAAGATGCTTACAGTACGCTTGATTACGAATTTACCCTTCATCTCTCTGTTAAAGCTTTACAATCTCCTCTGTTTTGCAAATATGAAGCTTGTGAGTTCAGTTTTAATATGACGTAACGATATCCAAATCTCACGGCACGATATTATCACAAAATGCATCTCGCTGTACGATATTTATTACGATATTGGTATGTAGATGGGCCAGTTTTTTGCTTTTAAAATAGCTCGACGAGGTTTTGGTGTGGATTATTTCCGTCATAATCCCTAGAATTCAAGAAAAAAACATATTTCTTCATGTTGTCTGCGCTGAAATGAATCATGGGATATGTAGTTTCTGATGTTCATAAGCTGTTGCTGCTATAAAACCATGCATTTAACCAAAAGAACTTGTAATTTGACATATTGTGAGACTTTTGACGATACGATATCACGATATTTCGGTTATTGTTACATCCCTAGTCTACACTATTCTTTACTTACGGTACTATGTCATTTTTTGCGGTGTCCGAATGTCCATTGAGTGAAAAAGTAGTCCACTCAAAAAATATTATTCTTATGATTCTACCATGTTGTTATAACGCAGCCTATTCAGCCACTTTATTTTAAAATCGTCTGATATGTGGAAAATCTAAAATGGCTCCTCTTTCATAAACACTTTGAATGTCAGCTGGATTTGAGTGACATTTGTTGGTAAGTGTTTATCAGAGTTTAGTGGACTCTAAATCAGGGGTGTCAAACTCATTTTGGTCCGGGGGGCGTATCCAACCTACTTTGATCCCAAAGGGGCCGGATCAGAAAACTCATGTCATATAAACCCCAAAAATAACAATAAGTTCAAATATTTGTGCAGAGAAACACAAATCTATTACAGAAATATTTTTTAACTGATGAACTCTTTCTTTTACAAAATATTATAACATTATGAACAACCTGAAACTTTAAGAAAAATGCAATTTCAACACAATGTTTTAACATGAACTTGTATGTAAATAGGAATAAGTATTTTTTTCTTGTAAAATCCTGCACTCAGCTTCACTTTTCTCATTTTGGACATTTTTCTGATGAGGGTGTCACGGTCAACAGTCAAAACGATCGTCCTTTAAGAGCGTTTGGAAAGAGACAAGTCTTCATTTGTGCTGCTCTGGTGGGAGGGGCCACGTACAGAGACGCTGGAGACGCTGCTGTGATAAACACCACAGAAAATTACCAATATTTTAATAGAAAATATAATTAAAATATTTTAGTAGAAAATCAGCTGAGGGCCAGATTAAAGGTCTTGGAGGGCCGGATCTGGCCCCCGGGCCGTATGTTTGACACCCGTGGTCTAAATGAAAGGCACTTCCGATAAAATATTTTGTCATTTTTACCCACAAGAGTTCTCGTGTAAACAGGCCCTCAACCTATAGGTGAATCTAAATAGACTTTTGTTAATAAACGTTAAGAATGAATAGGAGTTATTTGTGGTTGTCTGTGTTTTTCTTAGCCCTCCAGCTTATTGATCAATGGTGTGTGGTCTGTATAGTCTAAGAAAACACCTTAAGGTCTAAGAAAACGCGATCCATAACTAGGGCAGGGTCACTCATTCGACGCAATACAAGGTTCTATATACAATATTATCACAGTAGTATTGTGATGTGTAAATATAACCAACTACGTTACATAAACAAGAGTCCTTTTTTTCCTCTTGGGATAACAATACAGTATCACAGAATTTAACTTATTTTTTCCACATTCTTAGCCATAATGTGAACGAATGTGTATGAATATTTGATTGTAAATAAAGAGATATCACTAATATTAACCATGTAAGCGTCGAGTTGTGAGTTCCTCTTCTTGATTCTAATGTAAAATGTGTCGTTGTGTTTTCCAGATCCGTGTAGATGACTCCTCCCGAGCTCTTCAGTATGAAACGGTCCAGGCCGTGACCAGTGGACCCATCCTGAGGGACATGGCCTTCTCCTCGGACCACCACCACCTCTACGTCATGTCCGAAACTCAGGTATGTGACGCTGAAACTCCTGTTAACTCCATAACACAGACATACAAAAGTCTATAGGTTTGAAGATGTTACGTAACGTCTTCATTCACCAACAAGATAAGATAGACCTTTATTGTTTCCCATGTTTTATATAGTGTGTAGAGGTCTCTGCTTTCAGTCCCGCAAAGAATTGTAATTTTCTTTCCTGCTCCTGCCCCCATCTGCTCTATTTTGTCCCGCTTCCTCCCGCAAAAAGAGGCATTAGGGCTTGAGTGAGGTCGCCTCTTCACAGATCTAACCTGTAACTTCTGGTTTGATCTCCATGAAGGTAGAAAGCTTTAATACCATACTTTAAAACATTCCAGACGAAGCAATAACACCTCCACGGAGAAAAGCATTTGACGGACGCTCCACCAGAAAAGCTACACAGTGCACCTTTAAGTGTAGTATCTGAGTTTTTTACTAATATCAAAATAAGACATTTAGTTGTTGATATTTGTGGGTTTCCGTCTCACCATTCATGATACAATATTTCACTTTGAATTGTTAATTGCTACGACAGCAACCCCAATTTTCCACCACTCTCAATTAGGGCTGGGTATTATTAAGAAGTTGCCGATACGATACACACCTCGATACATAGGCCACGATACGATACATAGGCCACGATACGATACATGGCCACGATATGATACATGCCTCGATACATAGATACACATAGGCATACATACATACGATACATAGACGATATATACATACGATACATAGGCCACGATACGATACATACGATACATAGGCCACGATACGATACATACCTCGATACATACAGGCCACGATACGATACATAACTCGATACATAGGCCACGATACGATACATACCTCGATACATAGGCCATGATACGATACATACCTCGATACATAGGCCACGATACGATACATACTCGATACATAGGCCACGATACGATACATACTTATCGATACATAGGCCATGATACGATACATAACTCGATACATAAGCCACGATACGATACATGCCTTGATACACAGGCCACAATACGATACATAACTCGATACATAGGCCACAATACGATACATACCTCGATACATAGGTCATGTCACGATACATACCTCGATACATAGGCCATACGATACGATACGACGATACATATACCTCGATACATAGGCCACGATACGATACATACCTCGATACATAGGCCACGATACGATACATACCTCGATACATAGGCCACGATACGATACATACCTCGATACATAGGCCACGATACGATACATACCTCGATACAGTGCACTTTCGATTCGATACGGTGTATTTCAAATCAATTCGATACAGTTCAGTAAAAAAATAAATTCTAAATCATGGCTGTGATGCTAAAAATCTTTGTTAAACCACTTTTTTGCAAAGTTCATATGAAACACAAACATTTTAATCATCAAAACAATGAAAATGTCAAATATGTCAACAAAACTGTAGCTCTGTAACAAAATAATTTCATAAAATACACCAAAACATACTCTGGGCGATATATCGATAGAGCAGTTCAGGATTAAACAATTAACAATACAATATATGGATATTTTGATATTTTTGCACACTCCTACTCTCAACGTCTTCTGTATATCGGCGACGCTCTATTACCGACGGTTCAAGATGGTCATTTTCTTATGTCAAAACATGCTATTTAGCGTGAGCATTTCATTCTCTCCAGACCAGAGAAGAGACACTGATTGCTGTGTACGCTGTAGTTTTGCTGTTTTATATTACACAGAGCCAGAGTATAGGGATTGCGGGACTGAATAAATGCGTTGTATTATATGGTCTCTCTCGCCGACAGACTGGCTCCTTTTGTGTGTGATTGTGCACTATAGTTTCGCACATAGCCACATCTCTCTTAGTGCCTTTGATGACACGGAATGTGGAGCGAAATAGCAGAGCACTCTGGGTAATGGACCCGGGCCCTGTTGAAATAGCACAGAGGAAAGGCCCCGACACGCAGGCTGGTTCACACAAATGTACACAGCACTATAGCGTATGACTCACCATGTATAGACTACTACTTCATAAACAGAAAGAAGTGTTAGCAGTACAAATGTGCACACAACTAAATTATTTCATAGTTTTTTAGCTTTTATTCTCATGTTTACTGCTAATTATGGCTGAGTATTATTAATAAGTTGCTGATACAGTGCATTTTCGATTTGATACAATATATTTAAAGTCAAATCGATGCAGTTCAATAAAAAATGAAAGGTTAAATCATGGCTGTGACACTAAAAGTCTTTGTTAAACCACTTCTCGTGCAAAGTGAATATGAAACAAACATTTTAATCATCAAAACTGTTGCGCTGTTACAAAATAACTGAGTGAAATACACCAAAAAATACTCATGGTGATACTCGGGTCTAAACAAGGTCTGAACTAGATCTGAACCAGGTCTACACTAGATCTAAACCAAATCTAAACCAGGTCTAAACAAAGTCTAAACTAGGTCTACAGTAGGTCTGAACCAGGTCTAAACCAGGTCTAAACTAGGTCTGAACCAGATCTGAACCAGGTCTACACTAGGTCTAAACAAGGTCTAAACTAGGTCTACAGTAGGTCTAAACAAGGTCTGAACCAGGTCTGAACCTGGTCTAAACCAGGTCTAAACCAGGTCTAAACCAGGTCTAAACCAGGTCTGAACCAGGTCTACACTGGGTCTAAACCAGGTCTACACAAGGTCTAAACTAGGGCTAAACTAGGTCTAAACTAGGTCTAAACCAGGTCTGATCTAGATCTACAGCAGGTCTAAACTAGAGCTAAACTAGGTCTAAACCAGGTCTACACAAGGTCTAAACTAGGGTGAAACAAGGTCTAAACCGGGTTTAAACCAGGTCTGAACCAGGTCTACACAAGGACTACACAAGGTCTAAACTAGGGCTAAACCAGGTCTGAACTAGATCTACAGCAGGTCTAAACTAGGGCTAAACTAGGTCTAAACTAGGTCTAAACCAGGTCTGAACTAGATCTACAGCAGGTCTAAACTAGGGCTAAACTAAGGTCTAAACCGGGTTTAAACCAGGTCTGAACCAGGTCTAAAGAAGGTCTAAACAAGGTCTAAATGGGGTCTAAACCAGGTCTGAACCAGGTGTAAGTCAAGTCCAAACCAGGTCTAAGCCAGATCTGAACCTTTCTGGTTAAGTTTACACCACCTGCTTGTCTCCAGGGAGATGTCATTGTTTTGCCGAGAGGTTCCACAGTAAAGCATTCCTCTTATCTATCACCATGGAGACAAGCAGGTGATGGAAAAGTTACACAGTCCAAGTTTCTCTTATTTACTGAAAACATTTAAAATATTGTTTTGACTCACCTAATTAACCTTAAGGCCTATTTTTACCACATTTGTGCACATAATTTCACACAATTTCAGATTTTTTTTTCTTTTCTTTTTTTTTTCTAGAAAGTGAAAGGATAGAAACAACTCCAAATGTCACGCGGGATGTTTTTGTCATAGAAAACAATTACAGCTTCTCCGCACAAACGTGTTAATAGTGTCGTTAATAGCTGGATTCAAAGCTGTTTTTGCTGCTCCACTCTCGTGCCTCTATCTGTGCTTACAGCCTGCCCAGATACCAATAACAAATGAATTATTAAGGATGGCTAATTTCCATTTTACCCATTATGTAGGATTCCTTTGTGTTTCGCCATTAACTCTGTGATTGTAGTTGTGGTGTTGGCGCTTTTATTTTCCGTACCAATTAACGTCCATTATTAATTAGCCGGCGAGTTTCCAAAAGCTCTTGAAATGCACTTGTAATGATTCTGTTAGGATTTTTTTGAATGACCTGCTCAAACTGTATGGAGTAACATGGGGTTTCCCCAAATAATCCACCAGACCAGGTCTAAACCAGGTCTGAACTAGGTCGGAACCAGGTCTAAACTAGGTCTGAGCAAGGTCTGAAAGAGGTCTGCACCAGGTTTAAAACAGGTCTGAAACAGGTCTGAACCAGGTCTAAACAAGGTCTAAACTAGGTCTGAACCAGGTCTAAACAAGGTCTGAACTAGGTCTAAACCAGGTCTGAACCAGGTCTAAACAAGGTCTGAACTAGGTCTAAACGAGGTCTAAACAAGGTCTGAACCTGGTCTAAACTAGGTCCGAACCAGGTCTAAACAAGGTCTGAACTAGGTCTAAACCAGGTCTGAGCAAGGTCTGAACCAGGTCTAAACGAGGTCTAAACAAGGTCTGAACTAGGTCTAAACCAGGTCTGAGCAAGGTCTGAACCAGGTCTGAACCAGGTCTAAACAAGGTCTGAACCAGGTCTAAACAAGGTCTGAACTAGGTCTAAACAAGGTCTGAACCAGGTCTAAACAAGGTCTGAACTAGGTCTAAACCAGGTCTGAACTAGGTCTAAACAGGTCTAACAGGTCTAACCAGGTCTGAACTAGGTCTAAACGGGTCTAAACAAGGTCTGAACCAGGTCTAAACAAGGTCTGAACTAGGTCTAAACCAGGTCTGAGCAAGGTCTAAACAAGGTCTGAAACCAGGTCTAAACCAGGTCTGAAGCAAGGTCTAAACCGGGTCTAAACTAGGTCTGAACCAGGTCTAAACAAGGTCTAAACGAGGTCTAAACAAGGTCTGAACCTGGTCTAAACAAGGTCTGAACCAGGTCTAAACAAGGTCTAAAATAGGTCTACTGTGGGTTTAAACAAGGTCTAAACCAGGTCTAAACTAGGTTTGAACCAGTTCTAAACCGGGTCTAAGCCAGGTCTAAACTAGGTCTACAGTAGGTCTAAACAAGGTCTAAACCAGGTCTAAACCAAGTCTGAACCAGGTCTAAACCAGGTTTGAACCAGGTCTAAACAAGGTCTAAACCAGGTCTACAGTAGGTCTAAACAAGGTCTAAACCAGGTCTAAACCAGGTCCAAACCAAGGCTAAGCCAGGTCTGAACCAGGTCTAAACAAGGTCTAAACTAGTTTTGAACCAGTTCTGAACCAGGTCTAAGCCAGGTCAAAACAAGGTCT